CTTAACTTAAAGATTGCCAAATTTATAACACTGTCTATTATTACCCCCACCTGTATGATTGAAATAGTAAAAAATTTCACTGTAATACAAGTTACCTCATAACAGGGATAATCATAACATGATTCCTGAAAATAGCATTCGAGTTAAAATACAGCGTATACAATGTACATTTTGATCAAATGATGATAGGCATTTGGAATAAATGTTCTTATTTAGAATTCCAAGCAAGGACAACTACTAGGGGAAATCTATCCTCCTTGCAGCCATTTCAAAATATTAGGCAATTTGAAGTATGATCTTTTGAATTATCCATTTGAGTCTTAAGAGTTTTTCCATTCTTTGTTTTTTCCGTATCTGTCTCATATTTCAACTTCTTGTGTTTACTCCTCAGGCTCTTGGAAGCGTACGGAGCTTTAATAGCACTCCCTCTGTGACAGGCATTTCATATACTGTACAATCAAAGCTTCTCAAGTCTGCTCTGTAACTGTTGATTTGTTGATTGGGGTTTAACCTTCTCTTCTAAAGGAAGGTTTCTAAGAAGTGGAATTCTTTGTAGAGTCACAGTTTATGAGAATGTTATATTCCCTACTTCATGCTGCTTGTCAGGTGAATGGGATAGCAGTGCCCAAAAATGGCCAGAAAAGACACACAGAGGTCTATACAGAATCACAGCTCAAACCCTTGAAAAAGATTAAAGTCGAACACCTTATCAGATAGTATAAAGAATGAAGTAGACGAGTCTAATAACCAAGGCCATTTCTTATCGTTTCTTATCTTGGAAAATAAAATTATCTTTCCTAAAAACAACTTATTTACATTAATTTGTAACCAGTTTATTGTTGATATTAAAAGTGAATTAGTAAATAAATACCTATTTTTTTGGTTTTAATTCTTAATATGGTTAAATATTTGCACATACTAGTCACATAAACTCTCTTCTTTGGAGTTCTCAATACTTTTAGATGGTGAATGTGTTTTTAGATCAAAATGTTTGAGAACCTCTGCCCTAAATGAAGCAAGTCTCACTGGAAAATAAAATACCATATATTATGATTGACACTGAAAGTTATTTTTTCCTAAAATAAGTTACAAAGAAAAATAATGACTAAAAAGAACACTCTTAAAGAGCCTCTTTTTCGTCCTGTTCCCAAGTGGCACAATTTGAAATAGAAAAGGTAAAATCTTATTTCTAAGTGATATTGCATAAAGTTTCATAGGTATAAGTATGTAACAGATTCTACTAGATACAAAAACATTAGAACAATGTATGCATAGTTTCACATAACTGTTTGGCTCCTTAAGTCAAGAGCTTTTAGTTGACTACAGAACTGTTATTATCTGTCAACATAACAATGACAATGCCTAAGTCCCAAACAGAAAATTTTAGGAAGGAACTATTAATAAGTAAGATTAAGTATTTTTTGGGTAAGTAGAATAAAACATGAAAAACCAACATGTAAACTCTGAGTTACTTTACTCCAAAATTTGTATGTGTATTATAGTTTATATCTGTGCAAACTTTTTCATCACATTAAATTACTTAAAGTTTACATATACATACACTCATACAAACACACACACACATTCATGCAGCTGTGTATCAGTTTAAACATCAAAGTTTATATCAAAGTCATCTAACTTAAAAAGAATAAATAACTTTCAAAACATCTATGCTACTTGGTTTTCAGTCATTGGATTACTAATAATATTGAAACAATTATGCAAAAAATTCTCGCTTCATAAAAGCTTTAGTGCCCCTTTTTCTCATTATCATTTAAATGTTAAATGCTCCGTTATGGAGGTAAATTGGGTTTAAAATAGAATGTTTCAAGCAGAGGAGCAAAAAATGTAAGGTTAAACAGAGTGAGGAACCAGAGCTTCAGTTTGTGGGTAGAAAGCTTACTAGGGCATGGATTGATCTTTTGATATACTAAGAAAGCCAGACCCTCTGACATGCCCCATAGAGAGAAAATATACTGACCTGGAACAAAAATTATGTGAAACAGCTGTTAAGTGACAGAAGAAATGTGCATTGGACCACCAGCCTGTCATAAATATTGCACTCTTAATCAGAAAGCATCTGTCTTTTCATTTCCTTTTCAGCTGTCTCTGCATTGTATTTAATCTGCACAGACTGCTTCTCATAACAGGTGCAACAATGTTTACAAACTGAAAACCTTATTTAAATGAAGCTTAGGACTAGAGACATTTCAATTAACAGGGCAATATGAGAAGAAATAATTCTAACATTTGACAAATCCATAGATTTCTCTGCATTTATGACATTTAATTACTGGGAAATTAGAGTGTAGATGCCAAGAAAAGCTAGAGAAGAAAGTTGTTTCAAACAATCTTATGCAATATATTAGTATCCAGAGAAATTATGGGGAAAAGTTATTGGTGGGAATGTGGAAAACATTAAATACTGGGGATAGATTAAAAAATATCATATTTCACCAAAAAATAGTATTTGAATAATAATGTCTCAAATGTCCATTAAAAGTGGTACTTATGACACTAGATTATTTCCCTACTGTTAATATTTTGGTATGTGGATAAAACGAGAGTTCTTGTGGCCAGGATTCTCACCTGGCTGTGGTTGACTAGCTCACTGCACACCTGCGGACACTACATGGCTGTTGACTCTATAAAAAGAGCTCCGCCCAGTGCTCTGGGCATGACATGGTGGCAGGGCTGCAAGGCTGCAGAGTCGAGGCTGGACTGGTGGAAGCACCAAGGACAGAGGCCTGGAGGACGGCTGTGTGGGACGGCTGTGTGGACAGAGGGGCCCTGAAGCAGAGACTGGCTTGCTGCATACAGACTTGCTCTGAGTGAATGGGATTCTAATGACTGACCTGCCACCTGGAAGTAAAGCTGGGTATAACCCTTTCACGCCAAGAATGTTTTGCTGTCATTTTCTTTGGTCACACTGAATCCATAGTGAACTTGCCCAGGGCTGAATCCCATTGGCAAGACAGGTATTATCATTATTCAGTTGTTGAAATTAAATTTGACAAATCCATAATCTTGCTGTATTAAAAAAAAACTGGCAGAGATGCTAAGGTTTGCATTATAATCACCCAAATAAATTTTAAATAGATAATTTATTTTTAAAAATGAGTATTATAAGATTAGCTCATTTAAAACACATACATACTTTTAAAAATGAAAGAGACCATAGAATTATCCAGTTCACTCTTTCATCCAGAGTGCAGAGGTAATGAACTCAACTTTCCTACAGGGAACAGGCAGGCAATACAGGTAACACAAGTCTGGTGATACATGTGGCCCAAAGGTTGGTGTTGAAAAAATATTTATTCTTAACTGATCCTCATCAAATCCTACCTCTTCAGCCTTAGATTGTTTTCCTTAATAATTTTCAAGTTCTTCCCTTGCACTAATGTGTTCTTATCTAAAAGTTTAGAAATTTTCTTACTAATATGTTGAACTTATAACTAGACAATAATAATTATAATGATAGCTATGGTTGATGGAGGCCTTAATATACACTCAGTGTTAGCTAAACCATTTGTATGCATAGTCTCACTTAATCCTTAACATAGTTTATGAAGTAGATTCCATAATCTGGAACCAAGTTCCCTCATCTGCAAAATAATTCTGAAAGTGTTCAATCATTTGTCTAGTATCAGTCAGTAGTCAAGTATAATCCCATTCTTAAGGCTACACTATATTATCTCTCCAAATTCTTGACTTGAAACTCAACCAAGATAAATTAGACATTAATTAGATAAAAAGTAAAAGCTATTTTTCAATGTGTTAACAAGACAGGTGTTGGATAAGCTGAGATGAGGGGATGAAAAAAGATTTATTAAAAGATATCAAGCATGAAAATAAAAAATGAGTTATTTTCTTAATACATAAATTTCATTACAGTTTACTTATATAAAGGGATTGGTAAAAGAAACAATATTTCTACATATATACCACATTTTTAAACAATAGCATTAGAAAATATAACTTTAAAAATCAGATAAGTCACGATAATCACTTTTGCATTACCCAAGAATGCTTCTCATCACAATAGAATTCACCCGGAGTTTCTCCCTCCACAAATTTAAGTTGTTAGTGATCATTAGCTATTCAGAGCAGAACTAAGGGGGTAGGTGGTAGAGAGCAGAGATGAGATAGACTGCAGAGAAACATAAAGCTAAATATTCTAAAAGCTGCCAGAAATTGAGATATTACATATCTGAAGTTGAAGAAATGTAATTTAAACATAAGTTTTGGGACCATCTGTAAGTGAAGAACAAAGCAGGCTTTACTCTCTTTCCAGCCACTGTTTTGTCAGTGTAATAATTACATCAATCCAGCCACCCCAGAAGCTTTCAAATAGCTCCCAATAATGTATGCACAACTTGTAAAAGAAGGTAAAATCTTTTAACAGATTTAGATGTACAAAGAAACAGTTTTCTGTGACATAATTCTGAGATAGATTAAAAGGTTTGAAGTGCAACAGATGGATGAACAGAGACTTAAAGGTGAATCAGGCCTCTGCAATTCTCTTGGGAAAAAGCCTTCATCTTCACAAAAAATGAGGTATCTTTTCAGGCAGGCAAACTCTTGACAAACTTTGGGTAGCTAATCCACAAAACTCTCATTAATATACAGCATGTGAACTGCATTTCCCCTGGGAAAATAGAGGAAAATCTATTGCACATGTTCTCTGTTTCTATGAATACTGAAGATTACAATTATGTTTTGATGTTAATCCAGCCACTGCAAATTTCTTGTTGTGAAGCACACTGTGAAAATGTGAGTGACAGTATAAATCTTTTTAAATGGAATTCAACACTATTGAAAAGAACTGATGTTTTCTAATATTGTTACAAAGCCTCTGAACATCAAGAATAACTCTAAATGAAGCAGCTTCTTACAGTGAACCTATTTGGTATGAAAGATGGATAGCCAGGCAAAATCAAATTCTTCATGTCTGCTATATTGTGTGCATGTGTGTGCTTTCTATTTTTAGGAATACTCACCTCCAGTGCTTTGATGTCCTCATAAGCAAACTGAATGGTGGGAACTCCGAGATGGTTGATGAAATAATCGGCATCACCTTGAATCTGTACAGAACTGACATTGGTTTTTGGGCACCGAGCTCTTCTGGAACAGTTGAAATTACTTTTCTGCAAAACATAATGTAAATCGTTAGCACACAACATGCTTCTCAGGTCATCTCTAAATCAAGGTTACTCAAAATGTCTGGAGATGAGCAGTGTCAATGTCATCCAGGAACTTGTTGGAAATACGAATGCTTAGGTTCCATCCACACCTTCCCAGATAGGACCCTGAGGGGATGGAGCCCAGGAATCTGTGTAGTAACACTCTCTGATGGTGCTCACTGAAGTGTGATTATCACTGGTCCAAATCAAGCTTTGCTTTCTGTTGTTCTGTTGTTGTTTTAAAGGCATTTTTATCACTGGTTGATTATGAGTTGTAATGACTCTGAAATATTTCAAAAGAATGTTGAGTCCCTAGAAAGGTTTAAGTTTTTTCTTCTTTTTTTTTTTTAATTTAACATCTTCCCATACATATAAAGGATGGCTTGATCAGACATAATTCCATTCTTCTTAAAATGCTTTTGAAAACCGCAGAAGGAATTTTCCCCATTTCTTTTTAAAAGCATATTCCATCATATCTTAAAAGTATATGCCAACTAAAACATGGGCCATAGAGAACCACAAAGCTAAGTCCATCCTCTGCGGAAGTAGATGATAGGCTATTATTTCTTAAAACAGGAGTTGTCTAATGTGAAAAACAAATGAAAGCAGTGTTATAAAAATAGAGCAAAACATAACAAAAAATCAAAAACAAGTAAACATAGGTTCTTAAAATTAATATTGATTAAAAATGTCTTCAAAATTTCCAAAAATCTAGAATCTGGTGCCCTGTGCCCAGTCTGAAACATGGAAGAATACTGATTTCCTCAACAGTAATCAGGAGGAAAGTAAGACGACAGCGTAGGAATATCACATTTAGTATCAGGCAGGAAGGATGTATTCAACACAGGTTTGCCACTGAAATAAGATATCAACTCTTCAACTACCTTCCATCCTCACCCAGGCCTCTCTGGCATGATATAAATTCAAACACACTTTTAAATACTACACTCTCAAAAGATTTGGAAAAACACAGTTTCATGTTCAGAAAGTGAGTTGTTCCAACTTTTTTTCAACTACAGGCTAGATTTTTCTAACATATAATAATATTTCAATACTATACAATTTTCTTTGGGAACCTAATAGGAAGATCTTTGAACAAAATTAAAATCCATTAAAATAGAAAGCCTGTGTGAGGGTTTCTAAACAAGGCAAGGCTTTAGCTTAGTCACATTTGTAAATGTATCTTAGGTAATGAAGTATTTTGGAAATAGAAGTAAAATCAGTGTTTTCCATGTAGTCTAGTCAGTAGCCACCTAATGCTTTTTAGGTGACCCCCACACATTTGTTTCTTTTGAAAGCTTAATTTCTGAAAAGATAGTTAATAAACTTTCACTTCCTTATATACTCCTATGGCAAGACTGGGACAGTTTTCGGATCAACCTGGGACAGTTTAAGCAAGGTCTTGAATATTCCCAAAGAAGAGCTACCTTTATATATTGGATTATTAAAAGAAAAAAAAGAAAAAAAACTGATTTATATCATGTAAAAAAAATTCCAAGGATTTTTGGAGATTGAGCTATTAAAAACTGCCATCTTTGAAGATCTTTGTTTAACCAGAAGAGCTTTTTCTGATTGAATTTGAATGCCTTGGGCAGACGAGGTGTTTACCTGTGTCCCATCGCTAGTGTTTGCCAATCAGCCTCTTCATTCATTCAGACTCACTGACTGCATGGTGGCCAGATGCATTGGAATTTGTGAAACTTAGACTGTTGCACTCTTTTTCATTACTAATGAGGATTTGCCAGAATCTTGTCTTTTCTTTCCCCAGATGTCTATCAAATCATTTTTGTAAGTGGTCTACTTTCCCTTTACTGCAGCAACACCTATGCCTTTTTGAGACATGTATCCTACTCAACATTAATGAAAATACAAGTATGGCTTTTATTTCATTTTGCATACATAATTCTTAATACCCACTCCAAAAATCAGCTGCGCTCCTGGATTTTTTTTTCTCAACAGAAGATCATCATAAATCAAAAGTCACCCATTTTAAATTCCATTAATATTTGTCTCTGAAAGATTAATTTAAAAAAATAAATGTGGTATATAAATGTAATAGTTGAGATTACTTACATTCAATGATTATTGTTAGAGATTAGCTTCCCTCTAACAAAAAGTGTTAGCTCGCCATATATACAAATTCCTATGACCCTATTCCAATCAAGCTTGCATTCTCTGCTCTAAGTTACATAAAGCACAGTTCTTATTTCACCTCAGCCTTCTGCTGGTCCAGGGCATTCTTTTTGAAGTCATTACAGATTCTCTTCTAATCTCTCTGTTCTGAGCCATGCCTCCTCCTGTTGCATAGTTTGAATATTTGCATTACATTCAGTCTCTGTAATTCCTTCTAGCTGCATCATTACTTACATGTTTTGTATGTTTCAGGCAAATCAAAAACAGCAATATCCAGCCTTCAGGATTACATTCCCTAAAATACCTCTGCATTCTTTTCCCTATACTGGCTTGCTTTACTTCACCCCTTTATTGAACAACCATCAGCCTTTTCCCTGCAGGTTTGTATTGCCACCTCTGTCACACAAAGTCCTTTTGCAAACCAACTAAGATGACAACAGACAAGCATTATCTAGAATTGTCTCAAAATTAAATTTTGAAGGTGAAGATTCAGCCACATTTATGGTGGTAAATATGAACTATTTATAGAGGTAAGACAGAGCATAGAACAGTA